ATAAAGGTATTACTTCATGTTCAGCATCAGAGTATACAAGAACTAAACGGAAATAGTACCATCTTATGGTTCACAGTTTATTGGTAATACAGCGATATAATAGATTATAAACCAAATGATCTGCTTGGCAATCATATAGACAAAGAAGTAGAATTCAGTGATGATGGCAGTCAGGATGAGATGGCAGAAAAAGACGATTATGAAGAGTATAGATATGACTGGATGCATCTTGTAGAGATGGGCTCAAACGTAAAAATCAATAGCCAATCTGACCTCAGAACACGTGATATGAACTGAAATCATGACTGGATTAATGATACTCAACAGAATTATTCTCATAATGACATTTCAATGGTCAGCGAATTCATGCGACTAGCATCAATAAATGGAATAAGCGGAGGCAGAGGAAATGAGGATGATTTAGCTGATTTTAATACCCTAAATGAAAATCAAAGAATAATATTTAATCGAATTAAATCACATTATAATAGCATACTCATAGACAATCAGGTAGAAGCATTAAGAATGATAATTATGGGCACTGCAGGAATGGGAAAATCTTATCTTATTAGAATAATAAAAAAGTGACTTAACATCATGACAGAGAATGAAGTAAAAATGCCAGTACAAGTGATCGCACCCACAGGAGTCACAGCATTTAACATAAACAGAGCAACAATTCACTCAATGTTATCTATACCCATACTTAACAACAATAAAAACTTTGAGTTAGATAGCAGCTGGCTGAAACAACTACAAAAATGATTACAAAACGTAATTTACCTTATTATTGACAAGAAAAGCATGATCAGATGTCAAATGCTTACTTTAATAAACGTGCGGTTAAGAGAAGCATTTTCTGAAAACAAGAACGAAGCGTTTGGTGGACGATCTATCATACTATTCAGAGATTTTGGGCAGCTCCCACTGGTTTTTGACCTTTCAATGTATGCTAGCAATATATCGCATGACACAAGATCTAATGATGGGATAATAATATACAAACAATTCAGATAGGTATATAAACTTGATATCATATAATGTCAATCAAGTGAAATTGAAGAGCAATAGAGCTTTTGAGACATACTTTTAGGGTTACGTAAAGGAAATAACAGCTTCAATGATTGGCAGAGACTTGACATCCAGTTCAAAGAAAAACTCAGTCGTTCAAAACAGGATCAATTTTCAGACTCCATTTCGATTCTTACCACATGAGCTGATGTAGACAGAATTAATATAGAGATGCTCTGATCGTTAAATCAGCTAGTAGCTAAGATATATGCAGTATATACTGGTAGACACAAGGCTAAAAGAATCAACTCAGACGTAACAAAGGGATTCGAAGTCGAACTATTACTGGCAAAAGGATCACGTGTTATGTTAACGGCAAATTTATGGACCAAAACTGGATTAGTAAATAGAGCAATGGGAACAATTGAAGATATTCTGTTTAGGGGACAGGGCTACCTTCACTTTCTGTAGCAGTTTTCATAAGATTTGATATATACGAAGAAGCTATCATTACAACTTTAGAAGGGGAAAAAATCGTACTGATCATACCAGTAAAATATACCTGGGATGATAAAAATGGTACAACGTGTTCTCAGCTTCAGATACCTATATGCCTCGTGTGGGTCATTACAGTACATAAGAGTTAGAGACTAACAATAACAAAAGTGAAAATAGACCTTAAAAACAAAGAATTTGTCACAGGTCTTTCGTTTGTTGCAGTGTTACAAGTTCGATCACTTAAAAATATATGCTTTAAACAGTTCACACTCAACAGGCTTTAGCATATCAAGAACTGTAAAAGGTTACAAGAAAAAAAGGAAGAAGAGGCACGCCTGCTTATTATGATACCTTGCAAATGATATAATAAAGGTTTATTTTAGTCACACAAAAAATTTTTTTTATGTTTCATTATACACAATTCAATTTTTATTCATTTTAGCTAAAGAAAAACTAAAGAAAAAACTAAAGAAAAAAAAAATAATAAAATAAAGAACAAAAAAAGTTTTTTTTTTATTTTTCGACATAATAACAAAATCGTAAAATCTAGATCAATAAAAACAAAAGTGTTAAAAAGTGTACGGACAATTGCTTCTTTCGGAAGAACACAGAATTCTGTGAGTAACGTGATGAACCAATCAGCATCGACTCGATCTGTGAGCGGGTAGATATCAGAATATTTTTGTATCATTTTGCATAGACATATATAGTCCTTCGCTTTACTCTGGACTAATAATAGATAAATACTATAAAATATTAATTAAAAAGTACATATAACTTAAACAGAAAAATGTTTTGATATTAGTGATATATTAAAATATGTATTATGATAATATAATTATATTATATTTTTTATAATCACATTATTGATCAATATATAATTAAATTATTTATTTTGTATGATTAATTAGTATATAATATCTCAACTTAATGAAAAAGGTAATAGAATATTAAATAAGATTCTACAATATTCTCAAAAAAATATTTGACAGTTATTTGTTTAAAGGTTTTTATAAATAAATTTATAAAAGAATAAAAATTATTTGAAAGTCTTAATATAGTATCAAATGAATATATTAAATTAAAAAAAGTCTAGTAAAAATATGACAAAAAAATAAAATTTTAGTATATTATTTTCTTTAATTTATATGTTTTAAAACTAAATTTTATAATATTTATTTATTTAGCATACTATAGTTAAAAAATTTCAAATTTTTTAAAAAAGATAAGAATCTTATTAATAAATTTATTTATAATACTATTTATATTACTTTGGCTAAACTAATTTAATTATCTGTTTTACATTTTTCCTCTTTCTGAATTTCTCAAAAAATTAAAAAAAATACTTACGTGATCAAAAATTCTGTTTAATAAAAAGTGTTTATAATATCATATGAATATTACATATATATTTATTAATCTTCATATTACTTAAACTTTAATTTTTTTGTTAACAAAAATGCAAAAAATGCAAAGATGCATGTTATGTTTTTCAAAATATACACTTAGCGTTTTATTTTATATGACATAACATTATATAAAAAAGATATTTATAATTGTTCAAGTAAATGAGAGTGTTAAAATTAACTAGACCTTTGGTAAAAAAAGTAAAAAAAAGCAGTTTATTTTTAATCGTATTTAATTCAATTTTTTCTAGTAACTACTTTCACTAAAATATGTATGTAAAAGTTAAAAAACAGAAACTGGACCTTAGATACTAGTGCAAGAAGAATTAGAAGGTAAACTTTTATTAATGAATACATTAGGATTTATATATCTTAAATATATCTTTCTTCTGTGTGATTTTGTTATACCTTTATCATAAATACATATCCTAATACCTTAATAAGGTTAATAAATTTTAGATATTAACTCCCAGCATAAAAACGTAAAGATATACATAATATATTATTATATAATTATATTATTCAACTTTTTCAGAGTATGTGTGTTGGTTAGCTTGAAAATGATCACAATATGTGTGGAAATCGATTTATTAAATATTTAACTAAGGCTATATAGTATATAGACCTATACTTAGAAAAATTACATTCAAGAAGATGCCATCTTTTATTATTATTTAGCTCTCTTCCAGTATATTAGTAAAGTGATGTTTATAATAAATACTATCAAAGAATGAAGAAAAAAAATTACAACTTACACGTCTAGAACTTTTTCAATTAGCTAATTCTATAGAGATTTCTTTAGCTAAATCTTGGGCATCTAAAGATTCTTAACAAGAAATTGTATCAAATGTTTTTGAACTTATATTCATGATGAAGAAATATTTTTATCATCTTAAAAATACTAATAACAATATGAAAGCCTTTCATGAAAGTGAAAATCTAGCACGTGAATTATTTACTAACTGTAATATTCAGCTTATTTCTAAATATAATAAAAGGGAGATTGATTCAAGATATTATAGTTTAGATTCTGATCTCACAAATAGAGAATTATTTGATTTTATTGATCTTAATTTATATGTACCAAATGATCCTATAAAAAAATATGATTTTATTCATAATATTCAATTAACTGTATCTATAGAATTATATAGGTAAAGTTTTTCTTTTTGAAAATTATAATTTAAGAATTGCTTTTATATTACAAAAAATTATTTTATTAAAACATTTATTTTTTTTAGATATCCTTATGGTAATTATCTTAAAACACTAAATTTTATATAGAAAGAACCTGATACTGATAAAATTAATGAAGATTATGAAACTCTTAAAGCATAGATGATCATTTGCATCAATGATATAATATCAGTATATTGTATAAGACAAATGAGAAAAAATGTATTTCAAAAGGTATAGTTAACATGTATAATTTACAATAAAAATTTTTTGTTAATTAAAAACTCAACAAACTTTTTTTTAGTATTCTTTAGTTTGCAATCTTTTAAAACCAGTACTTAGAATGCTATATCATGATCTAACTGGTGATACTTCATTGATAAATAATAAAATAAGTAAAGAAATAGAAGAAAGATTATGTTCAAATGATCAGATCATTTAGAAATTATATCATGTGATCTCAATAATTCTGGCCAAAATAATTGTTTTGAAAGTTTTCATAAATATTTCGCGTGATATAAATTTGTAATTCAAAATCTGGCCTGTATTACATTTAAATGACCAAATGATAAATGACCTCAAATGACCAGATCATTCAAAGTCATTCAGAGGTCATTTCAAAATCGTTAAATGATCTGGTCATTTGCCATCACTGCATTGATGACCATACAATGTAATAAAAGTATATATACATATAGTATAAGTATGAGCAAAAAGAAAATCATGTTACCGAGACGAAATTATTCTGATGTGAATGCTTACTTTTTATATTAAGATAATACATATAAAAATACTGCAATATTTTGTTATAATTATGCCATATAATCTTATCATTGATCAAACGAAGCTAAAATCAAATCATCAAAAGATTTTTTAGTCAGTTCTAAAAAATCTTCACTAAGAATGTCTTTATAATTTTCTCAAAGCATCTCCATATGTTAGTCTATCATATTCGTCATTCGCCATTAATTGAGTTACTACGTAATCTTTTAATTTATCAGATTTTCCAAGTCTCACTGAATTAAGTACCCAACAGACCAAACATCGATACTATCATCATGATGACTTTGGGAAATCTCAGGTGCATGACTCTCTTTAGCCAATTGCATATTTGGAACACTTGAAGAAAATTTACACATGTCATCAAAATCAATTATAAATCACTTCTCACTATCGATATATTTCATTACTTTTTTTCAGCAGAGGTCACGGTGCATGATATTCATTTTGTGAAATCTTTAATTTTCGTTAATAAAATCTCTAGGATAAAAGGAAAGTAGATGAAGATAGATACCTTAATTGCATTCAAAATGTAGTATATAGCTTTAATTAATGGATTAATCGTTCGTAGTTTATATAGTACGCCCCTTAGTGTAAAAATAATATACGGAATAGTTCCTTCAGTCACGTTGTGTTGCAATACGTAATCAATATATGGAACTGCGTGCTCTACCATTTTATGATAAAGTTCAACGATATTTAAAACAAGATCTGGAGTGGAGTGATATTTTATGACATTATTATATTTTAATTGAATCACTTTCTCGATCTAGATCGGTAAATAACATCGAATTCTTCTTGAAATAATTCTGGTATACTTTGCCTGAATAAAGGTAATAATCAGCCAATGTTTCTGCATATGTTGAAAGCTTGTATACCCCTTCTATCTTATCTAGCGAGCAGGTAATCAAATCTTTACGCTCAGTTTTATTAATTTCAGAATACAAATAGCAGAATGTTACTTTAGTGGCAATTGTGTAGTATCCGAAGATATAAGGACAAATCACCATACGTCCATTCCATTTTTAAGGTTAGCTTCTTTGCTGGATCTTTCGAATTATCTGGGTCTTTCTCCTCTCCTCTTACGGGACAGGCGCCTGATATTAAATACTAGGTGTCAGGTCGATATTTTTAGAGGTGTTTCGGTTGTAGACTGCCTTCGGGCATCCAATAAGAAATGGTTTAATAATGAGCGCATCCCAGAACGCATAATACGAATCTTCTATAGTACTAGTTACGGGTGGATAAGTGAATCAACAATACATTGATTCCATATTCTCATGAAAGCATTTTATGAGCTTACGAAGAAATTGTTCAAAATCTCTTGAGGGAGTTCTGACTGAAAATACCGATCATAACTCAGTTGGAAAATATCGATCGCACTGATGAATGGTCGCTTAATATAATCCAACAAATCCTCACGGTTTATAAAAGAATCTGGTTTCTTACAAAGCATACTTGTTACCGAAAAATACAATTCATCATCTAAGTTAAAAATCAAATAGGTTAAAGACACAAGCTCGAGGGAAGAGGTATGTATTTTTTATTTATGACTTACCAATTTCGCGCGTATGTTTAACAGGATTCGTAGTGGATCTATAAAGCAAAAATGAACAGTTTAGTGCGTCACGTTCATGTTGACCAATCATTACGACGCCTTGATATTCATGGTTACAAACAATAATATATGAAATTATTCGATAACATTCCACACGCAATATTATGAAACAAAATTCTGAAGAACACCCTTTTCTTCTTCTTCCGATTTGCAACTTGCAAGGGCCAAGATAATTGTTCTCTTATTTCTTGATTTCCAACTACAGAGGGTGGACAAAAGTATCCGCACACTTATTCACTCAATATAAAACTTATAATTTTTTTGCATTAACAATAAACGGTCAATTAATATTTTATTTAAAGCCGATTAA